ACATGGCATATTAACCATTATTTACCTCTTGGCTGAGAGGTCTGGTCAACGGCCAGAGCTACATCTTCAATGTCTCAGTGCATCCTTCAAAGTTGATTTGTGTGGGGGGGGGAGGGGGGGTGCAATAGAGTCCTTGAGGGCCAGGGGGCCTAGTGGTTAGCACACCTGGTTTTCAGTCTGTCGCCACCCAGGCAAAGTGAGGGGGAAAGATGTCTGGCCCCTACCCTAGGACAAAGGCATGGAAGTCTCAGTTTGCATCAGGGCCTTGCTCTGAACCAGGCATGGTAGGGGGACCCAGGCCGTCCCTCTCCACCTGGTCCCAGCCCACGACCCTATTGAGGAGCCATACTGGCAGAGTCCTGCCCACCAAACTCCTAGTCTGCCGCCCTGGCCCACTTCCTGCTTAAACTCTCCTTCTGTTTGGGGCATGGTCCCCTCCAGTCCAAACGCTCAGGAGCTCAGAGCTCAAAATGAGCACAGCCCCGCAGGGCCTGCCGGTTCTCCACAGGAGAGTCACAGGAGACAGTGCCTGTGAGCCTTACCAGCACCTTGGTCCCATCTCAGACTTAACCCTCCCTCTGGCTTCCAGAAGAAGGGCTTGTCTTCCCTCCAGCCTAGGGTGACCAGATGTCCCGATTTTATAGGGACAGTCCCAATTTTGGGGTCTTTTTCTTATATAGGCTCCTATTACCCACCACCCCCTGTCCTGATTTTTCACACTTTTTGTCTGGTCACCCTACTCCAGTCAGGGCTTCTGAGCTCCTTTTAACCTCTCCTCCAGCCAGAGCATACGCTGCAGGCCTGGAGGGGCAGGGTTACCTGGGCCCCATATTGCCCTTTTGCCCTTTTATCCCTTTGGGGCCAGTGTGGGGTTTGTACAGCCCATCACAGGGGGTCCTAAGAACACATCAGTATTCCACACAACCGCTAAGCACCCATGTTGTATTGAACTGCCTAGTGAGTACGTGTGTTACTGCCCCCATCTGGAGTTAAACTCTATCTGCATGCCCTCTTACCATTGAATGCAGCTTTTCCTCCAGCTCTCCTGGCAGGGGTCCTGCGCTTGGGAGTAGGTGGGGCTGATTCCTGTTCCTGCTTCCACTGTTTGGTTTGGAGGGACCAAATCAGTATCCAGTAGGTTGACAACAACAACCACAAAATCCTAGGTGGCTTTGCATTTTTTCACCTCACTCTATAGCGGTAACAACAAAGGATTGTCCTATGTCGCGCAGTATAGTAATGATCACTAAGCAAGGAAGTCCAGTGTTTCAGGGAGCACAGTGCGGATGAGGTGTTTGCTCCATTCCCTCCCTCTGCGTGCTCACCTCAGCCTCACTCCACCTGCCCCCTTCTGCTTCCTCCTTTCCCACCCTGCCCTGTCTCCCTCCACCCCCCCCTTCAATGCCCCTCTCCTTCCCTTCCTGTTTTCATTTAGCTAACTCCCTCCTAACTAAACCCCACTCAAACCATTACAAAAATATTGTGGCACTAACCTGCCATTTGCTGCCATTGCACTGTTCACTCTGCTTGTATGTTCGGTCCTTCCCCTTCCCTGTATCTACAGAGACTGTGAGCACTATGGAGCAGGGACTGTCTCTTGCTCCATGTCTGTACAATGCATAGCACAATGAATAACTCTCTAAGCACCACTGTCATACACATATTACAGAATAACAAATACAGTATATATTACACCGTGTTCTTGGCTGCTTCATTCTCAGTTAAGGAACAATGCTGCAACTTCCAGGTTTTGGCCTTAATGCTTGCATCTGTATCAGCCACAGCTGAAAGGCATCGTCACTGATACTCAGCGTTAGGGCTACCATATGTCCGGGTTTCCCCGGACATGTCCGGCTTTTCACTCTTTAAATAGCCGTCCGGGGGGGATTTCTAAAAATCTAAAAATGTCCGGGATTTCCCCCCGGTCGGCTATTTATCGACCGAAAAGCAGCTGACAGGGCGGCCGAGCGCCGGTCACATTGGGGCCTCGGCAGCCAAAGCCCCTTCCCGGCTCCCCCCCATCCCCTGCAGCCTTAGCACGCCGCCCGGCAGCGCTGGGGGGCAGGGCTGTGCGCCTGTGAGGGAACACGGCAGCAGGGCTGGCAGCAGCGGCCAGAGCCCCTCCCCCGCTTCCCCCCCTCCTCCACAGCCTCAGCACGCCGCTCGGCAGCGCTCGGGCGGGGCGGGGCGCTCTTTGGGGCGCGAAGCCAGATGCCTGCTCTAAGCCGAGCGGCACGGTAAGGGGGCCAGGGAGTTGGAGAAGGGGGGCAGTCAAGGGACAGGGAGTGGGGGGGTGGTTGGATGGGTCGGGGGCTCTGGGGGGGCTGTCAGGGGGCGGGAAGTGGGAGGGAGTGGCTAGGGGGTGGGGCTACCCCCCAATGGAGTGTCCTCTTTTTTGAAAGTTCAGATATGGTAACCCTACTGAGAGTGGCATGTAGCTGGCTGGGTGGGAAGGAAGAAATGCAAGTCACTGACTTACCTTTCATTAATAGTGCTGAACTCTAAGCAGAGTCAGGCTTTAAGCCATCTTCTAGGCCATATGTTAATATAGTCTCTTTAACATGCGATGCACACAACAGGTTCCATTCATAAATCTAATTGCATTCTGTCAGCATCACAGGGCTAGCTTCAGATGTGGTATAAGCAATTGATGTCAAATCAAGCTGCACTTTTTTACACCAGGTCTGAGCTTAGCCCACCAATGTGGCAAGTCCTAAAAATCAGAGACTCAATGAAGAGGAGAAATCCCTCCACCCACTCCTTCCTATTTCAACAAGCTGGGGTGGTTTTTTTTTCCATTTATGACCAAATAATCTTTTAATAAAAATGCTGAATGAGGCTGGCTAACCCCAAAGTTTGAATGTAGACCTTATGGTTTACAAGCCCGCATGACAACAGTCAAAACAGAACTCCGCCTGTCAGTACATAAAGTCGTAAGGGTGTCTGCAGTGTTAAGAATCAGACAGCATCAGACAGATGGGTCTCTAGAAAGCTTGAAACAAGCAGACCTCAAGTCACCTCGAGCCTATAAAACCACTTCCTGGCTTTAGTCGAAGGTAGAGAGAGTTCCATAAATAAAGCAAAGTGACCAACAAAAAGAGGCCTGGTAAGAAAGGAGTTAACCCCCCTCCTTTTTCATGTGGGAAACAGTCTACTCCCTAACAGGCCTAGGAGGGCTGGAGTTGAACCAGAGGAAATGTGCATTGCACTGTGGGAATGAAAAGGTAGCCTTCAAAGAGGGGGGGAAATGGCAGGAGTTTGAGAAGAAAGAGAGCTATTGTTGTTGCTTTCTTGCTAATTTCTGTTTTATAGAGAAGGCCTGAACATTTGCTTTTTTCCACGCAACTCCTGGCTCCCCCAAAGTTTTGTTTCTGCATGTTTTTAACCCTAGATATGTCATAATAGGCAGTGTGGGATTTCCTTGGTTTTGCTGGGAGTCTCAAGTGTGCATTCAGAGCTTTCTGTGCCCTTAACTGAAGGGTTAGGGGTATGTTCAGGCTTTAGCACACAAACCTTTCATAGAATATCAGGGTTGGAAGGGACCTCAGGAGGTCATCTAGTCCCCTGCTCAAAGCAGGACCAATCCCCAGACAGATTTTTGCCCCAGATCCCTAAATGGCCCCCTTAAGGATTGAACTCACAACCCTCGCTTCTCAGGTCCCATGTGGTCCCTTTGTCCCTTTCCAGTTGTGTGCCCCAGCACTGGAGAATCCCCAGGTGGGGTAGATCTCACGTAGCTCACTCCACACCGCTCCCCTGCCAGTCCCCAGCACAGGAAGCAGGTGTGCGCTGGGCAGAAGAAGGGGGGCGTATACACTCCTGCACTCCAGTGATCCCCCACTGACAGAATGGCCCTTTGGGGCTCTTGGCAGCTGGGTGTGATTTAAAGCATCTCTGCGCCATCCTCCCCTTTCCCGCTGCTTGGCCAGACCCATGAATCAGGCCCAAAGAGTCTGAATAAAAATCCCTTTCCCCTCGATTCGTCAGGTTTATTTGCATGGCAGCTCTGATGACATAATCTAACGAGGTCTCCAGTCATTCATAGGGGCTTTCAGGAAAGACAGGGGAGACATGAACTGAATTTTTAATGTACAAAATAAGCAACAAACAGAAGAGTAAAAAAACCAAACCAAACCCACCTTTCCGGGCTGCATAAAGGAGCAAAACAGGCCCAGACTCAGTTTTGGCCCTGGTCACTGTTAGAACCCAATTCAGCACATGTTCTGCTCCCATCTCAGCGGATCTGTCAACTATGCTCTGTCATTTTCCTCCCCAGGTCTGATCCTAAGCAACGGGCCCACACTGAGCAGCGAGGTCAGATATGGTCAGGGTGGAGCAGCTAGGGCACAGCTCCCAGCTGATGGAAAAACATCTCCTCTAAGCAAATTGGCTTGCTGGTTCTCCAGTGGATCCACACCCACTGGAAAACAGGACTTCCAGGCAACCAAGCACTTGGAGGGGGTGTGTGGGTGTGTGTGTGAGTGGAAGTAGTTGCATTTAAAGAAAAGAAACCTGCTTATACCAGAACAGAAACATTTGCCCCAGTGGAGAGGAATGGCGAGGTTAGTGTCAGTTCAGATAGCTTGGGCGGCTGGAGGTTAGGCTGGAGAAAGGCTTGGATTTCAGCACCCTTTCTGCAACACTGCAGCTATAACAACATTCCTCTGCTCCCGACTTCCTTTCAGCACGACTGGAGTTTAAACCGTCTGCTTTTTCAAAGCTGCCCTTCCCCAGTTTCTCTCGCAGCTTCTTTTCCATGAAAAATAAGACGTGTGTGATGAAGGGGGGTGGAAGCAAAGAAATCCAAGTGATTGCTCTGCAGGCAGGTGAGCCGCTTAGAAAGCTGAAGTACGTATTTGGAGGTCTCTCCAGACTGGCACCCATGGCTGAGGTTTAAATTTTAACTTTCGTAGAGAGTTGGACTAGAAAGTTGTTTCCCTTGGGCAGCTTGCTAGGGTCAGGAACAGGACTTAACTACTGTCCTTAACTATTAGGTCAACAGGAGAGGGAGCATCCTAGAGGTGACAGTGTCAGCCAAAGAGGGACATTGGCTAAGGTCCACCCCGTGAGCTGGAGACATGCCAGTTAACAACAGGGGCAAAAACAGAACATGGAGAACAGAATGGGAGAAAGGAATTTGTCTCGGCAAGGTATTGTTCTCCATTAATCTCATTAGTGTAAATGAGAGAGATGATAATGAGCTTAGTCAATTACCTGAACCCTGGAAAGAGTAAGATCTACTGAGGAAATGTAAGGAAGAGTGTTAGGGGGCTTATTCCTTCACCCTCTTACTTCCCTGGTCCTTCTCGCATGAACAGAGAGCAACAATACCCGAAGTCCAAAGGCACAAACAATTCAATGTTTATTGGGGTGAACTTCCAGCAAGCATGATTCCAGTTTCCTTCCTCAGTGTCCCCCTTCCCAGCTCTGACACCACAGAGCCATCCCTGTTCCCATT